TATTTTTTTCGTTTTTACCAAGTTGAAATCTATAAGAAAATGTATAAAAATCCTATGCAGTTTTTTACTTGCAGACCTGTGTTATTTTATGGAGCCTAAAAAGAGGAGTGTTAAGAACTGTGCTCACTGTAGAACTTAGAATCCAAGTAAGAGATAATAGCCAAGGTAGAAAGTGGACAAAAGATGTCTGATGTTGCTAGGCAGTATGGCTTGAACAGGTCTATAGTAGGCACAATCTTAGCTATGAAAGATATATTAAGAAGTCTCAAGCTGTTAATGGAGTAATGAAAATCATATCTGAGAAATAAAGAACATTTTAGAGCTCATAACGGAACCTGAAACTGATCTGAGGACAGAAGAACTCCAAGAACTCTCAAATGAAGAATACCAAGAAACTCAGTGAGATGTGTTTTCTTTTGAAAAAGAGGAAGATGAAAGAGGACCAATGCCGACATCTGCTACTAAAGATCTTTTGAAGTGGTAGGATGTCAGAACAGCGATCATCCAAGTAGCATCCAAACCAGAATAAGGTTAATGGGGTTGGGGATCTCTACAATTACAATACTATTAATTACTTCTGAAAAATCCTGAAGAAAAGAGAAAAGCAATCGACATTGGACAGATTGTTTAACCCCACAAATGGAAAAAACATGATTAATAAAAATGCAAGACTGCATATATATGTATTTTTACTATTACATATAAATAAACATAGTAAAAAAGTATATATTTTTTATTTTTTGGAGTCTCCGGAATGAATTAATCAAATTCCCATAAAAACCTATGGTAAATTGATAATCAGTTAATTAATGAACAATTCAGATAATGAACAAAGTCTTGGAACGGATTATGTTCATTAACCAATCACCTACTGTATATTTAAATTAAATTTTTAAGATTGATTAGTTTTAAATGTATGTATTTCCATTGAAAATGAGCTACAGAGTTTAACAGCACTTGGAAATTATTGTTGTTAAATTACATAAAATATCAACAAAAATAAAAAAGTTTTAGTTACTTGTGACTTAAAATTATAATAATTTTAATATTTCAAAGATTAGTCTCTCTAATTTATTTTCTAGACTTAAATTAGAAATTTAGGACTAGAAAATAAAATTGACTCAAATTAGAAATTTCATTTTTCAGTTTCATTAATCCATGATGAATGTTGATGCAAAAGAATTCTTATATATTTTCAAAATAATCTTATAAATTATATAAGGAGACCAAGTTTAGAAAAAGTTAAAGTTTATGTAAATTAGAAAAGTATATTTAATTCAATTCAATAAACTTTTATTATATAAAAAGGAATTTCTCCCATTACCTAGGGGTTTAGATACAAAGTTTATATAACAATTGTTATATAAACTTAAGAACAATGTTATTACAATACTTTTCCATTCAATTTTTAAACATAAGAAAAAATAAGACTATTAATTAAGACATAAGAAAATAGTTATACAAATTAGATATTTTCTTTTAATCAGACTTGTGGAAAAATGTATACAAAAGCCTTTTATCTTTAATATTTTTCAGTTTAAGGCGGTGCATCAGCACCATAATTCATGACCTTTATTACATAAACAAAAAATGTGAAATGTAATGTTTCTATTATTGCATCAGTAACAATTATCATTAAGCAAATCATATATAATCTTATTAATTATGATAAAATTGCTATTTAATCTCATCTGTATAAAAAATTTGTAACATAAAATGGTAAATTAAGAAATAAATAGTTATTGATAATCTATAATGATAGTGTACAGTACCATTCAAGGGTTTTAACTTTTTTGAGTTCATTTATATCTTGTACCAAGGATATCTCAAAAACTTTCTGAATGAATTGGAAACAATTTCTCTAAACTCATTTATCTCCATAAATGGCCATATAGAAAATTTATATACTGTATACAGTAATACTTCAGTTATTGTCTGTTTTGGTTTTCATCACTTTTTTCTGTGAAAAATTTGTCTTAGATTTTGTCGGTTGCCTTGGATTTCATCGGTGTGCCCAAGTGACCTTGCTGTTAATTTTGCAAAAACAAAGGGCAACCCATGCGTTTGTTTGCTCAGTATGGCATTGTTTTTTGTTGTGTTGTTTCTTGTTTCTCGTCTCAGTGCTGTGTTGTGAGCATTACACTGCGCATCTAGCCAATTCCATTGCTTTCCTTTCCTTTTTGCTCTATCACAGGACCAAATAAAGTTTTCAGAGCCAGCAACCATTCAAATGCCATGTTAAATGTTCATTTATTCTTTACATTCATCTTTTATATTCATTTTATATTAATTTCTTATTGTTTTTAGTATTAAAAACTATATTTTATTCTCTATAAAATGCGTTTTTAGTTTTACTTTGGAGTGTCTAGAATGAATTAATTGATTTTATTGATTAACGAATTGATTGATTAATTGGATTCATATGGAAACAGTTGCCCCGGTTTTTGTCAATTTCAGATTTCACTGATTGTTTTTGGACAGATTATCGATGAAAACCAAGGTATAACTGTATATTCAAAATATAAAACATCTGGACAACCCAATTATTTTTATTCTTAGGAAAATTTGCGTTTTTGAAATAACATTTTTAATAGTGATTTGTTGGGCTATAAATTTCCACTGTTGTCTGTCTGTCTGTCTGTCCGTCTTTCCTTAATCTTGAGAATGGAGTTAGATAGATGAAAGATATGACTGATATGGAAACTTTAGGGGACAGGAGGCACCAATTAACTATATTTGAACTTCTAATGCAAACAGGAAGTCATGTTATTCTAATTCAAAAATTTTCTCCTGAAAAGTGTTAGCTAGATCAGTGGTCCCCAACCCCCGGGCCATGGACCGGTACCGGTCTGTGGATCAAATGGTACTGGACCGCCCAAGGAACATTAAATTACTGGTATTTCCATTTTATTTACTGTGGTGTATTTCTCTCGGCTTTGTGCGACTTTTAATGGACGATGGAACAATGGAATAAACTGGACATAAGAAACACACTTCGGGTGTCATATTCTGCTATTACCTCTAGATCGAACCGTCTTGTTGCAAAGAAACAAGCTCAGGGTTCTCATTGATTTAGCATTCTAGTGAGTTAAAATGTTAAATCACATTATATTCATTTTTTGGTGTAACTGTATTTTATTTTGAAGGCATGTTTAAATACAATTAAATTAAAATTATTAAATTAAATCAATCTAAAATATAGTATAAACAATCAACATCCCCCTCAGTGGGCCGCAGTAAAATATCAAACGTTGAATGGTCCGCGGTGATAAAAAGACTGGGGACCGCTGAGCTAGATGACTGATACAACTCTATTGTTAAAGGAAAAGTATGATGTACAGGGGCAAGCCACTAATTTGAGATGGAGAGTATATATTTTAAGATAAATTGAAAATATGATAAAAATTGCAGCCCGACATTGTGATGATGTCATAACAAATAATTGCCCATTACAATCTAATTTATCTCCTATTTTTTAAAAAATTAATTATCCTTCCTATAAAGAATAGACACAATGTAAATCTATTTAACTAGTCTGAGAGCACTAACAAATGTATCATAATCTAGAGAGAACTTCTTACAGTGGCGTGCCGTCATTGGAAGCGGTGGATGCGCCGCTTCTCTGTATTTTCTAAAAAATAAATACATATTAATTTTAATTATATGAAAATAATTGCACAATATTTTATTATAACCGCATTATGTATCTTATTACAAATTTCTATACTACACGTGAAAAAAAAAAATAAGATTGCTATTGTATATTCAAATATTAGTGGTGGAGTGGAAGCGCTGTATTGTCAGATTCCAAAAAGCCAGATTCACACATGCGCTTTACAGAGCACCAAGCTCGCCCGGTTTAGCTAGTGGAAGCCTAGGACCTTGGGTGGATGCTACACGTATACCGCATCCAATTCTATCCAGGACCGGTTCTGGTCTGTTAGCTGTCTGCCCGCTAGATATTTGGCCACCCTCGCCCAATTACGTGAATCGCAAGTAGATTTATAACTTAACCCAACCGATAAGAATTTACTGGTATGTTTTTATGATAGTTCTGTATAGTTGACAGGAGTTTAAAAAAATCCATTAAAATATTTGATATTTTTATTCCACTCTCCGATTTTATATTACTCACGGATTTCAATGTTAAACCAGTGATATTACGATTTCGTATATCTCATCTTTAAGGGGATATAGAAAAAAACGTGTACAATTCTTGTATAATGTTAAAAAATTAACTGTTACTTTGACAGCATCATTTACAACTAAATATAATGAATGAGAGAGATGCACGAGGTACAGAAAAAGCTCTAGAATTTATTTTCCTTAAATTTACAATTTATGTATCCATTTGTCATAAAAATTTGTCTTTCCACTTTTTTCCCGAGACTACAAATATTCGAGTACAAAGTAACTGGTTTCGACTTATTTCTACTTAAGAAGTAGTTAAATAATTAAGTGATTAGGGAATTGGGGACATAAACAAAACCCTGATGAAAGAGCTGAAATTTTACTTAAACAAAAGCTTAACCAAACCTTTATAACATAATAAAATGTTATCCATTGACTTACGTTTTTATGGATAACATTTTATTATGTTGTATTTTCAGATAAAAGTATATTTCTATTAAAATCTTTTAATAGAAACAAATATGACTAATTTAAAAAAAAAAAAATCATTTTTAGGTCATGGGAACATACACAAAAGGATTATAAATTAAAAATGTATTCTATTTTTTTTTTCCATATAACAGTTTTAATTTTAAGTTAATAGATTAATAGAGACAAACATTTTCAACTAATCTTTTTACTGGTTTATCAATTTTTTTATTTTTTATTTATTTTGAAATTATACAGTATCAATATATAGTTAATTTAGAATTTATACTGTATTGAAAAAGTTATTCTTTTAAANATAATAATTAATTATATATTATATAATTATTTTTAATATTTAAACTTATTTTTTCAAAATAAAAACTTTTATTTTTTAATTTCAGCGAAAGAATATGGGTTATTCTTAGCAGATGAAGACCCACGGAAAGGTGTTTGGCTTGAACCTGGCAGGTCTTTAGAATATTATCTTTTAAGGAATGGGGTAAGTTTGACAATTAATTAAGTATGCAAAATTCTAAGAATATTCTAAATTGATTGCATATTATCTTATTTTAGCATGTTAAAAATAAAAGCAGGTATAAAAGATTTGTTTATGAAATGAGTATTATTACTGTTTTTTGGTTCAAAAGTTACAAAAATCATGCTGTGCAATGTCAAAAGGTAAAACAAATAAGAAAAGTCAAGTATAGGATAAATAGACAAATGACTATTCTAAATTGATAATTCTAATAGACAAATAAATATTAGAAATAACTGATTGTAAACATGTGTAAAATGATAAAAAACAAAACAGTGGAATATTTATAAGTAAGAATTGCGATAATAATAATGGCTATACATGATGCAAATAATAAAATTAATAAAATGACTAAACAGCTCATAATATTTATTGTTTTAAAAATTTATTGCATGATGAATAGTAATGATGAAGGATTCCAGTTTAAAACATATCTTTTTAAGGAATTTTATTTTTCATATATATTACATCTACTTTACTAGATTATATTTTAAATAAAATAATTTGCATTTTTTATTGTTAAATTTTAAAATTTTATATTATTAGTTAGTACATTTTTTATTACACATGATATATTGTTATAAATATTTAATGAATGAATGAATTTGATTTTGACAATAAGTGAACCAATATACTGATGAAACATTTTGAAAAAATAAATATAAAGAAAAGTATATGAAGTAACCATATATTAATCTTAAGCTTATTTATTTATTTATGAATAATTTATGCATTCATATTTATTAAATGAATTACTTATTCACTTTTATGTATATACAAGTAAAAAATTTAATATATAAAAAATTTTATAAATTTAATAAAGTGGTAATTTTAGGAAAGTAGCTTGAATAAATATTTAATATCATTTGAATTATTGAATTGAACTTAGGATATGAACTTAAATATTTGTTTTTGTTTATAATTTTATTTCTGTGAAAACATTTTTTATATGCAGCTTTTAACTTTTCATAATTATTACTAATATAATAGAATCTGGAACTTTTTCTTTTCTTATAAAATGTAATTAATATTTATTTTATTAACAAATATTATTAAATCTAATCAAAATTCAAATCTATTAAATACTTTAGATAAAACTATATACATTGACAATTTATTTGAAATATTTTCTCAATTTAATACCATAAAAATAATTTTTAATAATTGTAATTTATGTAGTAATAAAAAAAAAAACATTTTTGGTATCATTCAATTGAAAATGATAAAAATTAAAATAAATGTTTTTAAATTGAAAATTAATTAATTTTGATTTTATTTTTAATTGTAGCTTTATTTTAGGTTTTGGTGTATTTACCTAGTATGCTTTAAATTCATTGATATCTGCAGGGTTCCAACATTTTTATTAAGGTGAAAAGGGTTCTGTGATAAAAATAAGTTCTCTGCACTATATCATTGTCACAGTAATTAAGTGAATATAATATTTGTTTTTTTAATAATTATATCCATTTCTGTATGAATTATATTTAATTTATTATTTTCTTAAATTTTTTGCCAATAGATGGCACTATATGTAAACCCTGCAAATCAGATGTAGACAGAAATTAATTGATATATAGAAATGCAATCCATATTTTGGGGTGATACTTATGACATTATTTAAGTTAGAAGTATGTAAAAAACATAATTGCCGAGTTTCGTAGCAAATGGTCGAACAGTCTAGGAGTGTATAGCAAACAAACAAATATCCTCATATATATATATATATATATAGATTTTGCTGCTGGATGNAAAAAAGTTACTAAGATTTATAGATTATTATCAATTATTATAAAGATCATTGCAGTTAAAAGTTAATGGATATTAAATATACATTTTTAAAATTTGAATATTTTTGTGATTTGTTTTTGGTTTCCTATTAAAATTTAAAATATCACATAAAAATGTTTAACATTTATTTTATGTAGGTATATGTATTTTTATGATATGTGAAAACATTAAATGTTATCAATATATATATTTTTTAAATTTGTTGTATTATACCTAATATAAAATATCAAAAATATATATAAAACCAAGATTGATTAGTGGTATTGATAATTGTGTTGAAGTTTATCTCATTTGATTAGAAACCTGATGCTTTTAAAAAAGACTTTATAATTATTTCTTAACTGTTTGTATAGAAAATTTAAATCTCACTAATTTGTTTAAATATGTTCATTTGAATTCATTACTTTGTTAAATTCTATTAATTTCACTGTTGACATTATAATAAGGGAGTAAGTGCTCCTACATTAATATTCTGAGTAAATGTATAGTTTTAAATAGTTCTAGTTAACATTAAATGGATAAACCTTTGGATGAACAATTAATTTATTAAGTCAAATTTCGTATTTCAGAAATTTGAAACATGTACAAATAAAATTAGATAAAAATTATTTAAATAAATTTTTTCCTCTTTATTTAAACCATCAAATAGCATTACAAATGATTTGATGTATAAACTTTTATTAGAATATTGTATTTGGAAGATAAAACTTTTCAGCTTTACTATTATACAGTATATATATGCAATATACACATGTAGAAAAACAAGTGCTAATTATAATAATAATTAAATGTTAGAACTGATAATTTACAAGATATAATCATATAGATCATTTGTCATTCTCTCATCTGATTATATATATNATAAACTTTTATTAGAATATTGTATTTGGAAGATAAAACTTTTCAGCTTTACTATTATACAGTATATATATGCAATATACACATGTAGAAAAACAAGTGCTAATTATAATAATAATTAAATGTTAGAACTGATAATTTACAAGATATAATCATATAGATCATTTGTCATTCCCTCATCTGATTATATATATATTTCAGTCTAGAAATTTATTTTCTTTTCATTTATATATAAATTAATGTTTTAAAAGGAATGACTAAAATATTCAATGATGTTTATTAAAAGGTATATATATGCCTATATGTGTTTGTTTGTTTGTGTGTGTGTGTGTGATTGAAAATGTTCATTTTTTCCAATGAACATACCTGCTGGAATAAGTATGGAAGATGTCTATTATTATAACAGCAAAGTTTACTTTTAATTGAAAAATTTGAAATTAAAACTCTATAATTACAAAAATAAAAATTATAAAAGATGTTTTAATGTTTTACATAGATAAATTTGTTGTTTTATATACACAAAATGGTCATTTTAATATTACATGTTGTTCTGAATATTTGTATTTCTTTTTAAATTACATTCATCATCTAAAATTTTTTATTCAAGTATTTTCATTTTTTGCTATGAACATCATTTTAATTTATACTTTTTCATTGATGATAATAGCTATTTACTATATATTTCAATCATTGTTTTATTACATTTTATTTATTTGTTTTATGTTAACACTTTCTACAACTGGTTTGAAATTATTGATGTGTGGCTACCCATAATTTAGATTCTGTTTATCATCATTTGTTTTTATCAGTTTTTGCTCATGAATTCATCCATTTGCAATTTGCATTTTAATCATTACAAAGCATTCATATTTACTAAAATTACAAACAAGGGGAGGACATGGTCCATGGATTTGATCCATGTTTTAGCACTTTGTCCAGTGGGCCTTCTTTTTAAACATTATAATGCAATAGTTGTGGATGCATAGTTAGTTAATCTTCTGGCTTTTGTTATCAAGATTAAAGGATTGAATCTTCAAAATATTAAATTATTATTATTTTTTCCTTAATTATTTCAATATCATGGTACATAAATGAATCAGTACACAGGAAAGCAATAGTTTTGGAAGAAAAAATTGCCAAAGGAATTATTGAAGTTTTAAAAGTTTATTGTAATAAATATTTGTTTTTTATGATTTTACAATATGTACCTTCCAACACTGTATGATGATGTAATGTACAAAAAAAATGTATAGAAATAAAACTTTTCTCTGATTTTTCCTGTAAAATTCCTACAAAAAATGAGCAAATATTTATTGTTGCCATCGTCACAATGCTGGGTTGCAATTTTTAATCATATTTTTAAATTTATTTATCCAATCTTATATAATTGTATTGTAGAAAAATACACAAAAATTCAAATTTTCTTTCCTTTCTGACATATGGAGGATAAGCAACTTCCAAATTCTAAACCATTACGTTAATAATGAAATAAAATTAAAGTTAAAAAGGGTAAGAGACAGACCAACTTTGCAGAGAGAAACACTTTACACATCCCCTAAATGCATTTCGCCAGTAAATTTAGCCTCTTCAGTAGGGTTATTTTGTACACAGCTCAAATTCTGACAATGCATTTAGGGGATGTACCAAAGAAATTAAAATGTTTCTATCTGCAAAGTTGGTCTGTCTTTTACCTTTTTAACTTTAATCATATTTTATTATTAATGTAATGTTTTAGAATTTGGAAGTTGCTTATCCTCCATAAGTTGGAAAGGAAAGAAAATTTGAATTTTTATGTATTTTTCTACAATACAATTACGTAAGATTGGAAAATTAATCCGACTCCATTGTTTTAAGTAATTTAATTTTTTAAAATAAATTTATTTAATTTCAAATATATGCTCTCCATCTTCAAATTAGTAGTGTTTTGCCCCTGTACATCATACTTTTCCTTTAGCAATCGAGTCGTGCCAGTTGCCTATCTAATTCCTTTCAGGAAATATATGAATTGAAATAACATGATTTCCAATTTGCATCAGAAATTCTTATGTAGTTAATCAGGGTCTTCTACTCTTAAGCTTTATATATCTGGTTGCAACTTTCATTTATCTAACTCTGTTCTCAAGATTAAGGAAAGACAGACAGATGGACGATAGTGGGAATTTATAGGTCTACAATTTTTTCAAGTTGCAAGCCAATTATTTATAATTATTTTTTAGTGTATATATTAAGAATGTTCTACTTACACTTATTAATACTGGAGTGGAAATATAGCACCAAACCTTCTTTGTAGTCCATCACGCAGTGACTAAACCTGGAGATCAATTCAATTAATGGAATATTTATAAAATGTAATGTTTATGTTCAACTGTCAATAGTGGCAGCTTTTGACCATCTTACTGAAACAATTATATCATAAATCTTTGTTGAATGGTTTGAATAGAAACTGGGTGAGTTAATCAGCTAAAATATTTAATAGTTATGGGTTTTCCATATGGCCGTTTTTGGAAACACCAGAGATAAGTGAAGAATTAAGTATTCAATTAATCTGGAATGTTTTGGAAAGTTCATTATCTCTCACAATATTGAAGATATTCATTTATGTAAATTGCCAGATTGGCATGATTCTGGACTATCCTTATATCAATAACTATATATTGACAAACTTATCATTTAACATCAAAAAATTCTTTATTCAACTTAGACTTAACAAAGATGTTATATTGATTAATAATAAATTTTATGTGTATTCTAATAATGTCTGCTCAAGATATAATGAATATTTTTCAAAATTTCACATGATTTGTAGTTGTGAAAAGGCTAAAGAATTAAGACAAAGGTATGGTCTTCATTTCTTAAGTGACTATACCATGGAAAAGTTGATGTATAGTTTTTTCACTCAGCCAACATAGAAACAATATATAAATTGTATAATTATCTTAACAAATTTGTTGCGACTAGTTGGGAATCATTGATATTATATTAAGTCAAATGATTAATGTACTAATAATAACTCCCTATGTAATAGGCTAGAGCCTAATATGAATAAAGATTTGATTTGATTTGATATGTTCAACTTGAAGAAGATCCAGCTGACAGATCAAAGATGTTAGTCATTATCAAGATAATAAGCTACTGGAGAATTGCTTAGAAGGTATTACAAAGAAGATTTGGTGCTATATATATTAAGTAGTTTATGAAATAAGTTTGCCATATTAAAATTAAATTTGTGTAGTGTTTGTAGTAAAGGTATAAGAATAATTTTATGAAAATAATTCTTTCAGGACTTACTGGAATATAAAAAGAAAATGCGAACCCTTCGAATCCGAATGTTAGACGGCTCAGTAAAAACAGTTTTAGTAGATGATAGTCAACCAATTGCCAATCTTATGGTAGTTATCTGCACAAAAATTGGTATGATTTCAAAAGAAAAATATTCATAGAAATGTTCATTTTATATTTATATTATATTAATTTTCATATTTTAAATAAATAATAAGTTCAAATAAAATGTTAAAAATACTAGTTTTTAGTTTTAATAAAATATAGTGTTGTATTAATGTAAAACAGTATTTAATACAAATATTTCATTCTTTAAAACATTTGTAAATTTAACAAATGAACAATAAAAATAGTTTTAAATATTTATATTCAGATTATATGTAATTCAAAAAATTTTATTTAAAATTACTTTACTTATAAAATTATTATTATGTTTTTTGAAAGTAGAAAAATTTTATAATAATTTGGACATGCATTATTAAATTTTATTTATTATTATTGAATTATATATTATTGTTATTTTTACTTTGTAAACTATAATTATTTTATTTATGAGAGAAATTTAAAAAATTATTACACACATTTATTTGATGTACATTAAAATAGATTACAGATAAACATTTTTATAAATTCCATATGTATTTGAAATTATTCAGTTATTTTAGATATGTTACATTATTGCACTTAGTTTTATTATTTATGAATTATGTTAACAATATGGCATTTTAAATAGAAAATTCTTATTACATAGGAATTACAAATCATGATGAATACTCATTAGTTAGAGATTTACCAGAGGAATCAGAAAAAGGATCTACAGGAACACTTACTTTAAAAAGGGTAAAATAATTTTTAAGAACATGTTTAAAATTTAATTAGAACTATTTTATTTTATTTGGTATTTATATTAAAAAGTTATATTTAAGTTTTTTATATTAAGATCATATGAAATATAAAGGAACAAAGAATTTCTAATAGAATAACATGTAACTTAGGGATTTTAATTTTCTAATAAATAATTTTCTATCATTGTGTTGAATTCCTGCTATACCTGAATATACAGTGTACAATGTAGGGTAATAGGCAATAAACATAAAGAGAAAAAACAAACCAATTTAAGGACTTTACACTTTTTGTTTTTCACAGGTGAGGAAAAATTATTTATTTCAGGGTCTTACAAGCTTCTTGATACACCGACAATTATACCTATATCCATATATCCTATACAGACTTAATTCATGTGTAGCACATATATATATATCTACGCGCTATTCTAATATCTCTGTGAGGGATAGTACAAACAAAGAACAAAACAAAATGGTCTTATATGTGTCCTTTGTTAATTGGGAAGGAATGTATAATCAATTCGCATCGACGTCTTGCTCTTAGACCTGGATGAAATTGGATTCTTATTCTTTCTTCAAACTGTCCACTCTCTTTTCCTTTCAACCACATGCTTAAACACTCGCACCTCACGTAGACGAAGTATCCGGCCAAGTCTGAAGAGCAAACAGTACAGTTCTCAGGTGAAACACCTCCATTTATATTTCTCCTTGTTTGACGTCACAAATTGCAACCAACCATCAAGTCCTGCAGGTTTTACAAAAATGTGGTGCCCGAGCACAAACGGAACAGGCGCGAAAAATTACAAAAAAACAAACAAACAGATTAATTTAAGTGACAGATCACTACAATTGAAATTAATTAGGCTTGGATTAATTAGGACGTTTATACTTTAATGAATATATTCCGTGAAGCTTGTAAGTATAACTGAATGGATAAATCAAATGAAAGACATTTGTTAATACAGGAAAAAGTTCTCCTTCAGTATTATGTAATAGTTAGATATTTTTTTTACCTTATTTGATATTCAACTTAATAAATTTATTCTTAAATTGATATACATTCTGATATCAATTTATAGAATGAATTAAATCAATTATAACACATTCTAAGCCAAATAGAGATGATAAACAAAGTAATCATTATAACTGGAAGTTTAAATGCTCATATTTAAAATTAATTTTAATGATTTAGTATAATTGATAAATGTTATTCTAAGTTTATAAAAATGACAAGAAAGAAGATTTAACCAATTACATTTATATTAATAATTTACTCATTTTAACTGGTAAAATAGTTAGTGACTCTCAGGAGAAAAAATAATATTTTTTGTCTTTTTATTCTTCTATCTGTAAATGACTTTTTAACTGTAAGAGAAACTTTCAATTAAGGAATATCCTATTAAGAACCTGAAATGTTTCTGACAGTTGTCAATTGTCAGAACATTGCAAGTTCTTAATAAAAACATTTTATAATTTTTTCTGTGTAAGTTTTTTCTTAATAGTGATACTCAATTTGTATGCAAAGCAATGATAATAATATTTGTAAAATTATCTAAAATAATAATTTAATTGAAACATTCATCCAGAAAATTGTGTTAGTTTTATATTTTTTAAATAAATGAGTTTCAAAAGAAGAATGATATTCAAAGATTTCTCAACAGTCACATGCATATTCTGATTCTAATAGTAATGTATAATTTTCTAAGCTATAAAATAAAATGATAATTTTTTCAAATCAAATTTATTATTGAACAATTTAATGAAATTTATAAATTTAATATAATTAAAATTTTCATTTAATATTGTAAAAAGCAGGTAATTAAAATTTTTAGAAATTTTTATTGTAAACAAAATGCAATGTTATATAAGATGAACAAGGAATACACCATATATATTAATGCAAATTAAAATAATAATCAGTTTTTGATATTAAAATACAGTTAAACTTTTATGAAATAACCATTAAACTTTACCCACTGTTAAAGATGAATTACTTCCTTAAGTTAAATATAGTAGTTAGTTTAGCTTTATCAATGTGGATGAAAACTTTTATAAAAATATTGTTTATGTATATTAAGGTTTTAACATGGAAAACTAGTTTTTACTTCAGTTTTCGAAAATTAAATTCTTATTGTTAACTCTTTTGCTATGATAATTCTACAGAATAATTATTGCAATCCTTCAATACTAGAATTTATTAAAATTATTATAAGGAACATAATTATTCAGAAAATAATTAGATCTAAATATTATTGAATGAAAAATGATGTTATTAAAGTAACCTCAAAATAGAATGAATTGATGCAAGAAATTAATTTTCAGAAATCAATGATTTCATTTATATCATTAAATTTTCCTAATTAATAATTTGATATCTATAGTATAGTATTAAATCTGCATTTAGTTTTTCTGAAATTTTGTTGATATTATTGTTACTTTACATAGATAACAGGTAATTCTTTCATGATGGTTGTGATAACTTTAAAGCATTTTGATAAGATTTTCTATAGAAACATTAAAATAAGGAAATTTAGTTATAATGAATGTGGCTAAATTCAAAAAATTTATTATAATACAGTTAAAGAAAGAAACTTTATATATAAATGTAGTGCCTATTTATTGCTTTTTGAATTATTAGACTATATTGGCATACTTAATACTTAGGATATTATGAAACATCATTCAACTAACATGATGATATGACAACATAATGATATTTATAATGAAGTTTCTATTTAGTAAATACAGTATTTTGTTAACAATTTAATACAGTAATGTTGCTGGTTATCTGAATTTTTTTGTTTTCTAGAAGTATTTGTAATTTTTATTCCACAGAATTCATTATTTTAATATTATTATTAAATTTTCTGATTTATTTTTAATATTTGGAAAATATATTTCAGGATAAAAAAGATAAAGATAAAGATTTGAAAATGGAACAACTAAAAAAAAAGTTAAAAACTGATGATGACTGTAAGTTTTTGTTTTAGAATTATTAAAATAATATAGTATAATTTAATATTTTACAAAAATAACTTTTTAAATTAAATATCATTTTTAAACAACAAAGTTGCAATGAATAAAATAATTTGTGTGTTAACAAAATCATGAAAGTACATAATATCTAAATTCAAATATAATAAATCAGTGATAAATTAATACCAAGAAGTTTGATGATGATATATTTATACTATCATAAATATTTTACATATCAGTTGATTTTTTTTAATGAAAAATGATTAATTAAAAGTATTAATCATAAAAAACTTATTTAGAAATTATATTCAAAATGTATATAAACATCCCAAAGCTCAATGTAATAATTAATCAGGCTATTTTATGCTACAGTTAATAATTGGAAATTAAGTAATTTGGTACTAGAAGCAGTGCCATAACTAGCCTTTTATGTGCCCGGTGCAAGCTTCTGTAACTATGCCCTTGAAAAATGCTCTAATCTTACTCAGCTCTGACAATAAAATGGAAAATGTCTATAAAAATAAATCTAAAAACTAAATTTTTATTTACAGTCGATCCCCCTATAAGATCATTGATTTTTCCGTTTTATCTGAATTACATGTTGTACGAGTCACTTAGATTTTACAAATACGTGTGCCGGGCTGTGAACGGCTCACATATTTGTAAAATCTAAGTGACTCGTACAACATGTAATTCAGATAAAACGGAAAAATCAATGATCTTATAGGGGGATCGACTGTATAGGTACCTACTTAGTAGAATTTAGGATATATTTAATAAAAAAAGTTTATTCAAAAATATTTGCCAAAATACACAATAATACAATACAAAAATGACACCAGACACTCATTAGCAGAGATAGTAAAGACCCAAGGCTAAGGCAAACTGTAAATGAAAAAAAAAAAAATTACCACCTAGGCACTTATAGATTTACTTTCTGTGCTTTTCTCATTGCAAAGTCTTTAATGACATTGTCATATGATAGAAGCCTTGCTGTGTCGCGTTCAATTGACAAAATTGCTAGCCCAAACAATCTTTCTTGGTCCATTGTCGAGCGCTGGTACGTCTTTATCAATTTGAGCTTACTAAATGACCTCTCGCAGGAAGCAACAGTCACTGGCATCGTTAAAAAAACTTTATAGCAACTACTAAGTTGGGAAACATTTAAATCCTGTTCTACTACAGCATTAAGAAGACCCAGACTTGACTGACATTCACATTTATCAAATAATGCGGTCGCTTCAACTTGACTCTTCAAAGTTTTTAATTCGGCCCAAAATTCTGTGGCATTTATTTCTGTAGAATATTTGATACTCAAGTCAGCAGCATGTTTTTTTAGTTCTTCAACTGAATATGTAGTTATGCCTTGTACTGTCAAAAAATTGAAAAAGTGGTGAATGTTGTGTAGTTTTTTGAATCATCATTTGAATTCAGAAATTATTCTATCTATTGCTTCATTTATCTGAATTTTGAAACTTTGTTGTTGGGTAATGTCGTAGCCAGTATCTAACCATTCGCTTAAATCATCTTTTTATTCGCTTTCATCGCTTTTCAGGAAAATTGTTTTCAATGTCACATTCTTCACAAATTTTTTTTGCCTTTTTGAAAACATTGTCCACAGTCTCACAAATATTTTAAATCTGCCTTGTTAATCCCTTGGTTAATTCAGAGGCTTTGTCGATAGTAATGGTTTTCAACTGTAGAGCTACATTCACTCTGTCAACAGATTCTAAAACTTGATCCCAAATTTGCAAAGTACATATGAATTTGTAGTTTATTAGGTGCATTACGCTTTTAGCTGTAGCAATTGTTTTCGCATTATAATCGTTGGTAGTTAGAATCTTTAGCACATACCAGATTTGGGAAATTTGCATGTTTAAAGCTTTGACAGCCCTAGCTTTAAAGGCCCATCTAGCATTGCCATGTTTTTTCAAAGAAATATGTAAATGTTTCATTAAAGTTTCCCATCTGACTGTAGAACTAGAAAAAAAAAACACAAATATTTTCTGGATTATTCCAAAAAAAGTGATCATATCAGGTGTCACACTAGCATTGTGTAAGCAAAGAATGCGCTGCACAGGGCACGTAATCAGCATTATCATTAATTTGTTTTATTTTGGCTTGGACACTGTTATATTTACTGGCCATATTACTACCATTGTCATAGCCTTGGCCACGAACATCTTGAATGTTCAATCCGTCAACTTCTAATTTCTCTAAAATTTCTTTCAATAAACCCTTGCCTGTTTTTTTCATGAAACTTCATGAAATCTATGAAATGTTCTACAATTGTAACTTTTTGCTTGGATATTTTTATGAATTTCAATATTTGTGACTTTATGCGCTATGTCTGGCGTACAATCAAAAAGCATAGAAAAGTATTTTGCCACACAAACATTGTCTAAAATTTGTTTTTTGACCTCAGACACAAGAATATCCACTAGCTCGTTTTGAATATATGGCGTAAAATATGAAATATTTCCTTTATTAAGCGATTCGATGTGCACTCTAAGTTCAGGATTGAATTTTGAAATCATATCCACGGCACTTAGGAAAACTCCAGATCCTGATTTTCCAATATCCAGATCCTGCTCATGAGAACTCTGAGAACCTAAATTATTTTCTGCACAGAATAATGCACAGAATAAAAGTATGCTAGTATACGCTTTTAAAATATGTCTCCACTTTTTTGTTTCTTGATCAATAGTTTTTTGTAAAAATGCATCTATTGTGGTCTTACTTTTTAATTGCTGTTCAAGCATTTTCCACTTAATAAAATTTTCTCTACGAAATATAGAGTTTTCGTGCTCAGGGATATGTGGACTTAAATGATGCCAATCATTAAATCCTTTTTGTGCATCAGCAAGTGCTGGCCTTATGTGGTTAACAATCGCTACAGCTAAAAGCTTAATGGATCTAATAAACTACAAATTCATATGTACTCTGCAAATTTGGGATCAAGTTTTAGAATCTGTTGACAGAGTGAATGTAGCTCTACAGTAAGTATACAAAAAGTATACATGAGAAACAAAATATTGTGTCTTTTTTTTTACTGTACATCAACCATCGCCTGGATATCGTTCGCCATTGCTCATCTTTTTTGTAAACCAATGCATATGAAATTTTTGCTCTGCGTCTTCAGTTGAAGAAATGTTTTTACTACCTTTTCCTTGATCAGGTCCTTTCTCGACAAGGAGACAATGAATGGGGTCAGTTAAGGGTAACCATGAAACAGGATCGTTTGTGTCTAATTGGGACTTATTAGTTGCAACTGTTTCTACAATTTGAATTTCAGAACTTTGACTAATGGTGGACAAGGTCAAGTCCTGCTGGACTGGGCTGTCTTTATTTTTCTTCTTTAAATTGTTTCCAGACCCAGACATATCAGGGGGTGTCAAAACGTCATTAGGTACATCATCATCCTGTCTATTTTCTGCCTGTGTGACTGTCCACTTTCTTAACAAATTTCCCAATTTTTTGGCTTCAACCTCACTCTCACTTTTTTTTCAAAATTCAGATCCAGATGGATGTTTTTGTGACATGGTGTTTGTTATGACATGCGTGTTTGGCTTACAGTAGCTGGCAGGTAATATTTCTGAAAGAAGAATTGTGAATAAGGTCTGGTCTAGTATAATAGGTTACGTACTTGTGTGCCAAACATGAGCATAAAAATGGTCACCATAAAAATGCCATCTAAAAATAAATATACTTAGGAAGGTACCTAATCCAATGACTAAAGTAATAGCAAGGTTGAGGCCAAAGTTTTAAATGCGAAAATGTGTATATCGGACATTCAGCGCCACTTTCCTGTAATCCTAGAAGTTTGACAGTGGTGTTTGGAATGTCGAGCATGATTCCATTGACTATCCAAACACCATTGTCAAACTTCTATGCTTACAGGAAAGTGGCGCTGAACATCTGACGTACATGTTTTCGCATTTAAAACTTCGGCCTAAACCTCGCTAATAACTAACAACATTTACAAGATAGTATATTTATTAATATTAAATAATAAAAACTTTCCAGTACAACTTATAAATACAATTTTTCAACTTACCCAAATGTGTTTATCAACAAACATTAAATCAAAAAAAGCTTATTCACTCTCACACATGATTTTACTTTTAATTAAATTTTAAATATATAAAGACCATAAAATAACGACGAGACAATAACTTCCGAGTGCCCCCAATGTTAACAATACGACAATGATCAAAATGAACATGGCTGACAGCATGAACTAAATGTAAATCTCAGCTAGTTTGACAGATTTACTTAGAGGTGGCACCCTCCTTCAAATTAATTTAGATTCTTGTCTCAATGTATACTTTTGTTTGTGTGTTTAATGTTGCGAGAGTTACGAGTGTTGTAGTTTCAAAATTGCTTGACAAATGTCATATAGTATAGTAGGTGCATCTATACCCATATATGTGATACAAAATATTGTATGTATGCTATTAACTGTGGGTCGGCCAATTTATGCCTGTACTAGATATTTATTTTTTCTTTGGATTGGTAGCAACATGTCTTTCTTTTGTCAAACACAAGGACCAATTTTTGGGGCAAGCATGGTATGCATGACCCAAATCTTGGTCCAGGTTAATTCTGTGCCCCTCAGGGTTTGCGCTCTGTGCCTGGGCACCGCCCTAGTTACGGCACTGACTAGAGGTAGACGTTAGGTGTCATCTCTTATTGAAATTAATAATTATAATAATTTATTATTTATTAAATAATTTAGAATAGTCTGGAAGAAAAGAATCAATTCAGAGTGGGAGTTGAACCTGCAACCTTTGCTTAACATGTGGTGAGCTGATCAGTTACACCACATGGGTGACTCTTTGCTTCCACAAGTTTTCATCTTTTCCAGACAAGTTTCCAGACAAGTTTAAATCTTTGATATAACTTTCATGGTTACCCACAATGCCAACTGGGATGACTCCTACACTCAAAGCCTATGTTCTCCTTCACTATGGCACTCAATCTATCAGTCTACACATAATGTTTACTTCTAGTATCAAAGTACTTAATCTCTAATTATTAATTGTAAGAAAAAATAGCCTGATTAATTACAGTGGTTTAATATATTCAAAATGATCATTGTCAAATTTATTTAAATAATAATAATTTAAATAAAACATATTTTTAATATAATTCTAAATAAAAATTGACTGCAAATAAGATCTATTAAATTCAATTGAATGATTATATATAAATTAAGTTCTTTTTAAAAATGTAAAATATTTTATAAAAAGGAACTTTATTTATTTATTTGCTAAAAATTATTTTGATTCATAATGTTTTACTATATGATTACTTTTATTTGAATTTCAATGATTTTGTTCTTGTATTACAGTAAATTGGGTAGATCACTCTAAAACGTTAAGAGAACAAGGAATTGATGAAGATGAAACGCTACTTTTAAGAAGAAAATATTTTTTCTCAGATCAAAATGTTGATTCAAGAGATCCAGTGCAATTAAATTTGCTTTATGTACAGGTATGTAAAAAAGACTAATATATTAATTTATTTTTAATGTTATTAAATGAGTTGTCTTTAATTTACTAAAAACATATTTTTAAGAATTATTTATTTACTATTATATAAAGTAATAATATCAAAAGAATTTTGATTTTTGATATAAAAAAAAAGTACTGTAATTCAACTTTAATGACAGAATATTTTAGTTTAAGCAACCTAAATCTGTTAAATTGAACAATAAATGTAGTTAATATATTCACTGTATTATAAGAAATAATATAATTCATATATTTTGAGATTTATTTGATTATATTTGATTTACATTAACTTGCACACTTTTACTTGCACAAAATTATCCATGAAGTTTATTTCAAAAAATATTCATTATTATTATTTTTATCCAATGTCATTTTTTACATAATTTAAAAATTATTGAATTATTGATAACTAAAATATTCAACAAACAATAAAAGGAAAAAATTTTATGATAATACTATTATATGACATTGTAAGTTAATTATAGACATCTGTAAATTAAAAATTGAATTAATTAAAAGTACAATGATCAAGAAAATTTAATTTTTCAATTTATTTTGAAAATAATTGCTTTGTTGATAATTTTTTCCTTAATCAATTTAATTAAAAAATTTAATTTGTAATTAATTTGTTTTATCTTAAGTGCAAAACATGCTAGTTAATCTATTTTGTTCTCAAAATTTTTCATCAATTATTTTGCATGCTTTTATTGAAGTACAAATACATTATAGATATAGATATTTTATCTCTGTTACATAGTCTTGGCAATATAATTAATAGAGGAAATTTTAGTTTGGAATGAGCAATGTATTCAGGTTTTAAAGGTTCATATGGAAATAGAACTCTTCTATGTGAAGATGATGATTATGTTTTCAATAGAAATGATAGTTTAAGTGCAGCTAAATCTAATAATTATAACAATGTAGTAAACTGTGATAATGATTCAAATGCAACCAGCACCAGAAGTGAATCTGATGACACCAATAAAAGTGATGAAAATGGTTTAAATAAACTCAATGAAAATGTATCAAATATAAAAAATTATGATAGTGATTCAAATGTAGTACAAATGCTAATTGAATGTAATCCAGACAATGTTCCTATTCTCAGAACTGAAACAAATTCCACTACAGATTATAATGAGGATCATATAATGATGAAGATAATGCAGTAAAGTCTAATAATTCTCAAGATGAGGATTCTGATATGTATAAAAGTACTCCCTTTCTTTGGAAACAATTCCATATGAATGATCAGCTAGTTTGACAGATTTACTTAGAGGTGGCACCCTCCTTCAAATTAATTTAGATTCTTGTCTCAATGTATACTTTTGTTTGTGTGTTTAATGTTGCGAGAGTTACGAGTGTTGTAGTTTCAAGATTGCTTGACAAATGTCATATAGTATAGTAGGGTGCATTTAAGGGTGTAGNGACAAAAAAGGCTATATCCGAGCAAACAGTTGATTTGAGTCGAATTAGGGATGTTATAATTAGAAGAATAGTTAGAATTGATATAGGAGGTAAATTGTAATAGTAAAAATAATAGAGGATGATCCTCTTCATGCAGCTAGGCTAGGCAACCCAACCCCAAATCCTACTCCGAACCCTCTTACATTAAGAGGTCTGGGCGGAATAATTCCTTTATTGCCAGTATTCTCTGGTGAGACGGGAGGCCCCAGAGTAACGGACTTTTTTGACTCATTAGCGGATGTCACAAAGATAGCGGTCTGTTCGAAGATGCAAATGTTAGCAGTGGCGAAGCTCAAACTCAATGCGATAGCTCGAGAGTTTGTTAGAAAAGACTGTTGGATTAAAGAGATAGAAGAGTTTGATGAATTCAAATGGTTGATGATACAACAGTTTGACCGTAAGCCATATTCCTTCTGATTAAATAAATTCTATGCATGCATACAGAAAAAGGAGGAAGATGTTCAAACGTATGCCTCCTGGCTTAAAGCCCTGGCTATGGAAATAGAGATTTCATCAGAGCCAGGTGCAGATGCTGCAGAAACTGCTATTATTAAAAGAATACAAGGGAAAGAGCTGGACAAGAGGCTAAAAGTGCAATTTTTAAATGGAGTTGATATGCGGATCAGGCAATGCGTCATGTCGTGAGAGCCGGCAACATTCGACGATGCTCTGAAGGCTGCTATTAGTGAAGAGACGATCGAGAGTCTCACAACACATCCCCGGGGAATCATGCAAACAGTTAGGGAAACTGAAAGGTCAACAGATTTCTCTGCAAGAGATAATTTAGAGCAACTAACATCCGCGATGAAGGAGCTCTAAGCTAAAATGGATGGTTTAACCAGAGACTCCTCCCTCAGAAATTCTAGAAATCCTCTATTGAGACGAAATAATCCTGGAAATGCCTATAGTAGAATCTATAATAATCCATCTTTTCGATGAAACGAAAATTGTCCGACCACACCCAATCACAGATTTGACTGACCGAGGTGTCCGAGCAAATCAGAATAGAAATCAGAATTCATCTGACCGGTGAGATAATAATTTTAACAATCGCTCAAAGTGTCAAAGACCTATTCCCCAAGGAGATGCGAAATAGGAGATGAGCAAAATAGAGTCCAATTCTGATCACAGCCTGCAGAGGACAAGCTAAACAAATGGAGAGGAAAGGTGCAAAGCGTTGAAGGTTAACGACGCTTCCGAATAATATAATTTCCGAAGGAACTCTACATTCCCATATCCTACATTTGAGCAGAAGCAAGGCTCTTATAGAAATCAAAATCGGCTGACATATAAGGCTCTTCAGACATGGAATTGAAAAAATTTTCTGTAAACACTACTAAAACCCTTACTAGATGTACCATGCCGCAAAGTGAGGCTACATTCAATTGTTATATAGGAGGAAATCCAGCTATAGTACAAATAGATACTGGAGCTAAGGTGTCACTTTTATCAAAGGCCTTTGCCAATGCTATGAAAGAGAAAGTACACATTGATAGTAACAAAGAAACAGATCTAAGAAGTGCTAAAGGATGTCTTGATTTAAACAGAAATGATGTAGCTGAAATAAAAACTTTTACTTTCATAATGTGTTAATATTTGCATATACTGTACATTGTCAACTCTTTATATAACTAATTAATTGGAATTTTTTTTTGTTATCTTTGCTTTGTAATTATCTTTAGTCCTTTCCAGTAAACAGATATTTCAAAAATGAAAATGTAAGAAAATTTATTAAACAGGTGTTTCATTAAATATCTAAAGCATGATTAGTTACATTGACAACATTAATGATTGAAAACACTATGTCTAATTATAATGATGGATGATAATGTTTATTCAGATTTGTAAACAATATTGTATGGAGAATAGATAATATAAAATAATTGATGCAATTATTTTTTTAAAAATTAAAAAATTTTTGTGTGAGTTTTTACTTAATCAATCATTTATAAAACTAACAATAAATATTAAGTTAAAGAAGCTTTCTGGTTAATTTTATTATCATATTAAAGAAATTGAGTCATTTTCATAATAATGAAATACAATGTACAAGCACAATCAGTGAATCAATATTTATCAAAATTTTTATGCCATTTGTATTATTAAAAAATTTGATTTTTTTTCTGTGATTTTATCTGTTTTAGATTGCATTAAAAACTTTAGATATAATATTTTATTTATTCATTAATTTTGATATTCAAAAATGTGTGAGATCTGACCTATGTGCAAACCAATTTTTCATTTTCTCCTAACTTTTTGACATATTTCAAACAAATTTATTACCTTACCGTGAAAATAACATTGTCAGAAAAATGAAATTGACTATCTCATCAACAACGATAGAAACTTATAACTCTCCTCTTTAATATAAACATTTACACATCTAAACAATGGCATTCTCATACTGCAAGACTTAAAGTTTACAATTAAAGTCTGAATTCGTCATTTTGTTGTGGTCCCGGGAACAACTTTAACCTCCATACCTGCTCCAATGACATTTATCTCCCACAATAGTTGATCACATGACAAAATTTCCCACAGTGAAGCTATAAAAGCCCCTTCTTTCCCCGCTTCAGGGAGAGTCTCTCATCTATGGCTGGTCGAATGTGATTCAGGTCTCAAAGGATTTTTGGTTTGTTATAACTTTGTGCATTGATCTAAAAAAATGGAATAATATTTTCTTCTCTGTGGAATTATCCTAGAGGTATGAAACAATTAATGTGAACTCTCTCTCCATGTATTAGGAGCTAGCATACCAAGTTAAAGGTTCTCGATGTTAGAGTTTGTAATTGTTAATTTTTGTTTAATCTAATAAACTGTTGTTTCCATTGTTAAATGGTATCCTTTACTCACATATCGCCTATGCCTTATCAATGACCCCTGTCACCTCCTCCACTCAACCTAACAAAAGGGATCCCAACCCCTCGGGATTGAAACTCGTAACCAAGCCATCCACTAACAAGTGGGCAGTTTTCAAGAGGTGCCCACATAAATTGGTTTTCCAGGAGTGGGGTTTCGACTTCCTGGAACTCTCAATAAGACAAAAAAGGCTATATCCGAGCAAACAGTTGATTTGAGTCGAATTAGGGATGTTATAATTAGAAGAATAGTTAGAATTGATATAGGAGGTAAATTGTAATAGTAAAAATAATAGAGGATGATCCTCTTCATGCAGCTAGGCTAGGCAACCCAACCCCAAATCCTACTCCGAACCCTCTTACATTAAGAGGTCTGGGCGGAATAATTCCTTTATTGCCAGTATTCTCTGGTGAGACGGGAGGCCCCAGAGTAACGGACTTTTTTGACTCATTAGCGGATGTCACAAAGATAGCGGTCTGTTCGAAGGTGCAAATGTTAGCAGTGGCGAAGCTCAAACTCAATGCGATAGCTCGAGAGTTTGTTAGAAAAGACTGTTGGATTAAAGAGATAGAAGAGTTTGATGAATTCAAATGGTTGATGATACAACAGTTTGACCGTAAGCCATATTCCTTCTGATTAAATAAATTCTATGCATGCATACAGAAAAAGGAGGAAGATGTTCAAACGTATGCCTCCTGGCTTAAAGCCCTGGCTATGGAAATAGAGATTTCATCAGAGCCAGGTGCAGATGCTGCAGAAACTGCTATTATTAAAAGAATACAAGGGAAAGAGCTGGACAAGAGGCTAAAAGTGCAATTTTTAAATGGAGTTGATATGCGGATCAGGCAATGCGTCATGTCGTGAGAGCCGGCAACATTCGACGATGCTCTGAAGGCTGCTATTAGTGAAGAGACGATCGAGAGTCTCACAACACATCCCCGGGGAATCATGCAAACAGTTAGGGAAACTGAAAGGTCAACAGATTTCTCTGCAAGAGATAATTTAGAGCAACTAACATCCGCGATGAAGGAGCTCTAAGCTAAAATGGATGGTTTAACCAGAGACTCCTCCCTCAGAAATTCTAGAAATCCTCTATTGAGACGAAATAATCCTGGAAATGCCTATAGTAGAATCTATAATAATCCATCTTTTCGATGAAACGAAAATTGTCCGACCACACCCAATCACAGATTTGACTGACCGAGGTGTCCGAGCAAATCAGAATAGAAATCAGAATTCATCTGACCGGTGAGATAATAATTTTAACAATCGCTCAAAGTGTCAAAGACCTATTCCCCAAGGAGATGCGAAATAGGAGATGAGCAAAATAGAGTCCAATTCTGATCACAGCCTGCAGAGGACAAGCTAAACAAATGGAGAGGAAAGGTGCAAAGCGTTGAAGGTTAACGACGCTTCCGAATAATATAATTTCCGAAGGAACTCTACATTCCCATATCCTACATTTGAGCAGAAGCAAGGCTCTTATAGAAATCAAAATCGGCTGACATATAAGGCTCTTCAGACACGGAATTGAAAAAATTTTCTGTAAACACTACTAAAACCCTTACTAGATGTACCATGCCGCAAAGTGAGGCTACATTCAATTGTTATATAGGAGGAAATCCAGCTATAGTACAAATAGATACTGGAGCTAAGGTGTCACTTTTATCAAAGGCCTTTGCCAATGCTATGAAAGAGAAAGTACACATTGATAGTAACAAAGAAACAGATCTAAGAAGTGCTAAAGGTCATCTTATCCAGGTGTATCATCAGTCCTACCTTCCAGATTGAAGACCTGCGATTCTCATTTGCATGTTGTCTAGAGTGGACATAGATGTCACTTATTCATGTGATAGCATTATCGGCAGGGATATGATGATAAAAAAAGGATTTTTTATTGATTTAAAGGGTGGAGAAATGACCATTCCCCCCCACAAACTGTAAAACCCTTTTTTATACTCCGCGAATGCTATGAGAAGAGTCAGGAGAGAACAAACCAGCATAAGTCCAAATACAAAACTAGGAAAAGAGGTAGCCAAAAAAAGATATAGAATAAAGACAAATCAATCAGTTGAGATTTCAAGGTCAAGAAAGAGACAACATTTACAAACAGAAATGGAGGAAGGGAACGAAGTAGTGTTGGTAGAAACTTGTCGACTTCCTCCTTTGACAGAAAATATAGTAACCGCAAAAATTTCAGGGAGCAAGCAGAATAGCAAAGTAGGAGTGATAGAGACACTTCCCTTCTTTCAGAAAGGAATATCGAGATCCAATCTATTAATTACACCCAAAAAGTTCCCATACGCCTTCTTAACGTTACTCATAAGACAATTCAGTTAGACAGAGATGTCAAGGTTGGCACAGTTTTTGAAGCTGTAGAAGAAACTGATCCTGTGTATACTATTACAGAGGGAGCAACTGCAGAATTGTCGAAGTCAGAATTCATCTACTTTTTGATTGGTCCAGCATTCCTAAAAGTGAGAAACAAGCTCTTTTAACCCCCTTGTATAAATATTGGCACGTTTTTGTCCTAAATGACTATGACCTGGGATATTGTGATATAGTGCAATATAAAATTAACACAGGCGATGCGGCACCTATTTACTCTCCTCCCTATCAAATTCCCTATGCACAATGGCAACAATTAAATGACATAGTAGACGTCCTTTTGGCCCATAATATTATCGAGCATTCTACATCATTCTTGGAGTTCAGCAGCGCTCCTAGTTAAGAAAAAAGATGGTGGCTTAAGATTAGTAATAGACTATCGTAAGTTAAATAAAATCACGAAAGTAGACCCTTATCCACTCCCTTTAGTGCAAGAATCACATAGCTTAATGGGACAAGCAAAATATTTATCTACAATAAACATGATTTCAGGATTTTGGCAATTAAGTGTGTGCGACATGGAGAAGACAGCCTTCTCTACCTCTGATGGGCACTATCAATGGAACAGATACCCCATGGGACTTAGAAACTCGCTTGCAGCACTTGAAAGAACGATGGACTTTGTATTGCATGGTCTAAAAGGAAAGACATGTCGTGTATACATGGATGACATTTTAACTTTCAGTCCTGACTTCCCTAGCCACCTCAAACGATTAGAACAAATATTTCAAAGATTAGGAGATGCAGGAATCAAATTAAAACCCAAGAAATGCCATTTCCTGCAGTGGCAAATCAAATTTCTAGGTCACAAAATATCTGAGCAGGGCATAAAACCTGATACTGACAAAATAAAATATGTTATAGATTTTCTGCGGCCTGAAAGTGAGCGGGAAATATGATCCTTTTTAGGACTAACTGGCTACTATCTGAGATACATAGCTGCTTATGTAAAAATTGCTAAGCCGTTAACTGATCTGTTAAGAAAGGATATACCTTTTGAATGGGAACCAAATCAACAGGAAAGCTTTGAAAGACTAAAAGAAATTATGATGTCAGCACTGTTATTAAAATCATCCGATTTCATAAAACCATTTATACTCGCTACAGATGCTTTGAACTCCGCTTTAGGAGTGGTATTATCACAAGAAGAGAATGGCAAGGAGAAGCTGATTGCCTACGCAAGCCGACTATTAAGGAAGCCTGAACTCAACTACAGTACAACAGAAAAGGAATGTTTAGCCTCCATGTAGGCAGTAAGATATTTTAAACCCTATTTATATGGGCAAAAATTCACTATTGTCACAGATCACTGACCCCTCTGATGGCTTCTTGACTGAAAGGATTCTACAATAAACTCTAGATTATCTCGATGGATCATTTTCCTCCAGGAATTCGACTTTGAGGTCACCAACAAGGCAGGAAACTCTCACAAAAATGCAGATGCCCTTAGTTGTATTCCTATCAGACCAATGAAAGAAGTTGAACCTATTTTCTCTGTAGTTCAATTGGCCAACTCGCAGCAATGGGATAATTGTTGGAGACCCCTTATACAAGCATTAAAGGATGGAATAACCACAGGAAGTTATAACAATCTTAATTTGGAAGAATTTTATCTCAATGAAGAGGGAGCACTTTGTCACAAAGGGACAAATAAAAGACATACAGATTGGTGGGAGCAAATCGTTGTTCCTGCAAGCCTAAAGGAATGCATCATGTTTACTTTCCATGACAACCCAATAACTGGACATCTGGGAGAACTTAAAATGTGAACAAAAATAGCAAAATCATTTTATTGGCCGGAAATGACAAAAGGATCTCGACCCCTCGGGATTGAAACTCATAACCAAGCCATCCACTGACAAGTGGGCAGTTTTCAAGAGGTGTCCACAAATGTTATCATTAATATTAATCAGAGATTAAGTTTTTATATTATTGTGAAAAACTGATTAAAATTCATTGTATTATTTTTATATGAAGATGATTCAAGGATAATCTGAGTTTTCATTTGAAAAACTTCAAAGCAAGGATACGAAACTTTTATTCTTTCTCAAAGTATTTCATTTACATTTACAAACTTTTTTCAATATTCAAGCAATTACTGAGATTCTGTGGTAAACAAAGTGTTTTTGCTTTTGTATAGCTGTGGAACATATGTGGGACAGGTTTTTATTATCTTGTTATTATTTGTTATCTGTGAAAATTAATTTATTATTGATTCATATAGTGTTTTTACTATATATATGTATTGTAACTTCCCAAAAAGTGGAAATCAAAAGAAGGAAAGTCTGGGCTCTATAGAATTTATAGATAATTTTTTCAACAAATCTACACTCATATCAACCATATCAATAGATGTAGTAATAGATATTAATTTGTTTTCGTCCAAGATCAGTACTTTGACATGATGATTATTGATGTATTGGATATCTGTTTGCTGGACGAATGTATATGAGGTTTGATACTTTTTCATAGTCTTCACAAAATATGTCACTCATAAATGCTTGTCTTAGCTCAAAAAAATTACTTTTGTCAATGCACTTAACTAATAAAAAATTTCAACCAATTTAAATTTTTCTTTTGTCAAGTATTTGACAAAACATTGTTATTCTATATTTGTGTAACACCATCTTGAATAGCTTATCAGAGCAGCAAAGAAAACAACTGCAACCTATCAGAAAATAACAGATTTTCAACAAATTTTAACTTTTGGTTGAGTTTTGAGTTTGTAAAGAAAAATTCAAATTAACCTTAAATTATCTTTGTATGAATATCAAATATTTTAAATTTCAAAAAGAAAATTTAATAACTGTGTACAAAAAATATAGATATTAATATATGATTTACAGAAGAATTAATCAGGTTGTTGCAAAATACTAAAATTTATGTTCAACAAAAATGTTAGTTTATAAATACACATTTATATGCAGTTTGGAATGATTGATATAAACAGTGTAAACATTTAAATTATATTTTAAGACATTCTAATTGTACAAATATAAATATTGAATAACCCAATTCTTAATTAATACTAACCAATCTGCTGAATTGTATTGGGCAGATCATTTGATATTAATATAGCCCAATACAATCTGGTAGATGGTTTGGTATTAACATTCTAATTGATTAAGTTTCTGAATATTTTATTAAAAGTATTTAATACTTAACATTATATTGAATATTTTTTTAGGAGAAAATGAAAGGTAAAAATAAATTAGCTCCAAGATTATTAGGTGTGACAAAGGATAGTGTGCTGAGGTTAGATGAGAAAACTAAAGAGGTAATTATTTTGATTTATAAATTTAAATTTAGCATTAGATGTTTAATATATACATAACAAATGGTTATTTATTCTNAAAAAAAAAAAATATATATATATATATAATATGAACTTAGAAAATTTACAAAATATTTTCAAACTAGCAGACCCCGCCACGCCTTGTTGTGGCTCAAAATGTATCTATTATAAATATATAATACTTCCCCAGTGGGAGAAAATTTAAAAAAAATCCCTTCTTAGTGTACATTCTGTTGACGTATCCTATTATTTTAGGACAAAATTTTACTGAATTTTTAACAAGGTTGATGAGTCCTGCGTATCTAGTAGATATTTTTACAATTCGCTGCCTCGAATCACGATATATTTCTTGAACTCCGGGCATACTTCCAGCACTGCGTGTATTCAAATTATGGGAATGGTGTGGTGTTGCCAATACCTCATCTATAGAATATCTAGTTTTGAGACGTTGCTGTAAGGTTGTGTCAGTTGTGGCTCCTGGTTTCGTGTGCTTTTTCGTATGTTATTCTCGGAATACCATTTTAGTTTACACATCCGTGGAAAGAGCTCTTCAGCCCGGTTCGTATGGTATATTAATTATATAATTTTCTTAATTAGGGTGGGAGCTAAAGGATTTTAAATTTTGCAATTTTCAGTAGGCTCTTGCGGGAGGGGGATAANCTGTTGACGTACTCTATTAAAACGCAATCAAAAACGGAAAAAACTGCATCTAAAATGGTATAAATAGAAGCAGAGTTCTTTACGGTAACCTTTTCTGTAAGGCTTACCGTAAAGAACTGTCCATCCCCCATGTTTAACGGAATAATATACAGCCTATGTCCACCCTGAAGTTCCATTCTAAATATCGGTGAAAGAATTTTTGAAATCGGATGAGTAGTTTTGGAGATTACCTGCTGCATACAAACTAACATACATACAAACATTACCTCTTTATAATATTAGTATAGATAGACAATACTTTAAAAAAGTATCTTCTCAGTTTCTCCCTTTTACACATCGTTAGGAAATAACAGTCTTATGGCAGAGTCAATCGTTCATTAGAGGTTTCTCATCTACCTCAATATAAAATGTTAAAATCTTTCCTTTGATGATGGCACAATAAATTAAAAAATATACATTTGATAAAGTAGTCAGGACATTTATCAATTGTAAATGTAATATTATTTATTTCTATATAACTTGTTATTTTATAATTTATTACATTTATTTATATTTTAAAATGAATAATAATAACAATGACAATAATTATTCAAAAATTTTTTTTATCAATGCAAAAGATAATTACTGTATGTTTCTACATGCTTAGCTAACAAACTTGAATAAGATAAATCTGAAATTGAGCAGTGTTTATAATGAAAGTTTTAAAAATAATTATTTCTAGATTTTTGATATAAAGAATTTTGAATATTTTAAAATTCTTAGAATTGGAGCAAATTTTTAAATCATTGAAATTTAGGAAGGTAAATATAATTTTTAATTTATTATTCTAAAAGAAAATTTCATGAATTTTAAATAAGTTCTTGGAAATTAAATTTTCTTCATGAATAAAATATATTCTAATTTCCTGGGAATTAGTAAAAGACATTCGTAGTAGCTGATCTATATTTGAATTGTTTAAAATATTTTTAATATTTCAGAACAGAAATACTTTAAACACTGAAGAGTTTTTGTTTCATATCACATTTTTAAAACAAATTTTTCTTAAAAATTTTGTTCCTAAAAATTTGGTACTTTTTATCTATTTAAAGTTTTACAAAAAATTAAAAAGTTTAAATTTTGTAATATATTAAAAAATTTTACATGCAAATATTTTTCCCCCCTCTCTGAAATTTAATTGGAAGTGAATTATTGAAATATTACTGCAATAAATATGCAGTAATATTCTTACTGTTTAGAGATAAAAAATGAAATTTTGAGAAATATAATAATAAAATATAAAGTTTTCAATTTGCTTTTATATTAAACACTATGTAATATTTCACTAAAACATAAGCATGAAGATCTAAAATAATATATAAAGGTATTGATTTAAAGTTTTTAAATATTTAAATTAATTTTTATAGGACTGAAAAGCTATATTTTTTTATAATCAGATGAAAATTTATACAGACAAGTTATTTTCATAAAAGATGTTTTATACATACTATATAATTTAAAAAATTCATCTAACTTAATTGATAATTATCAATTAAATTACATTTAAGATAAATCTGAACATTATACTAATATATAATTATAAGGGAAGAATTTTAAAAATGGAAAAAACATTGTAGGGATAAAAAAAAATGCACACAGATTAGCTTGTAAAACTTACATATAAAATATTCTTTTAAAAGCAGAAAAAATGGTAATCTAACCTGAAAAAGTTTATTATGGAATCATTTTAAAAATTTTCATAAAGCATTTTTATGAAAGGAATTAATGGGTAATTCCAATAAATTATCTTAGAGAATAGTCAATTACAGAAAATATCTCCAAATAATGCTTTTAAAAGACATCAGATATTCTTGAATTTTTGCAATTATTCTCTTGTTGAAGATATTTTAGAGTTGTTTTTGCTATTTCTATTTTATCTGAAGCTCTATTTATTCCAGCATTTGAAAATTAATTAATTGTCTTTTTCTGCTTGCTTATCTTAATAAAAGATGATTTCATCTTTTATTAGCATATTTATCTAGTGGTGATATTCAGCGGGTTCGCACAGGTTCGGCTGAACCCGTTGTTAACATTTTCAAAGTTTTCCGAACCCGTTGTTAAACACACGTAACATTTCTCAGTGGTTTTGTTTCTTTTAAAAAATATATTAAAATATACG